GAATGTAGAAGTTTTCCCAACAATAACCTTCCTTGTCAAAATATGTAGTACTTCTATTTTCTGAATAATATTCGTAAAAATATCACAAAGATATCAACTGAAAAGTAATTTACTACCACAGAGGAACACAATCTTATTTTCTAATATTAATCTAATGTCCTCTATATGCCAGGTACAGCATTAAGCACTTTACAGCCTTCATCATTTAATTTTCACAATATGCATAGAAATAGGCATTTTTGCATTCTACCGATTGGGAAAATGAGACTAAGAGTAACTGGCTAAGGAACACTTGGATTGCATTAACATATATGCTTTTTAAATTTTATAAAATTTTTTGGAAAACTGAGAAAAGAGGGGAGATCTATTTGTCATCCTAACATTATTATGATCATTTTTATTAGGCTTCAGTATGCTTTGTGCATTCATTGTTTTCCATATTTCATATTATTTCTCTGTTACAGATTCCCAGAAGTAGATCAAGATATATAGATCATTTTATCAAAGGTCATGCTTACTCATTTTTATCATGCTGCCTTCCTAAAATGACACCAGATGCAAGGACAATTTTCCTTCTACTAAAGGGAGATACAATTCATCAGAAAAATAAAATAAGTCATTTCAAAAGGAACGTTGGTGGCCTAGTAGAGAGGAAAGGTTTTGGAGTCAGACCTGGGGTGAAATCCCAGCTCAGTCTCTAGAGCTGTGCTTCTTTGGGCAAGCTCACATCTCTCTTGTTCAACATCAGTTACCTCTTCCCTCATCTTTCTAAAGGGATTAGAAAGGGTTATCGTGAGAATTATAGATAATGTATATAAACCACAGTGCCTGGCATGTAGAAGCTATTGAATAAATATTATAGAATAAGTCAATGTTCCAGTGAAAACACTGTTATGAGTGTAAATAATCAGATAAGTAGGGTAGCATTACATTTAACAACAACCAGGAGGAACGTGAGAAGTGATTTTTAATTATATTACTTTAGGAAAAGTGTCTTTTTAAAAGGAATACTTAGATTATAAGACTGGACATCACCCTAAAGTTTAAAGCCACATCTATTATGATGGATAGACCTGAGATTAAAAAAAAAAAAAGAGTGTGGGGGGGCCTGGGTGGCTCAGTCGGTTAAGCGTTCGGCTTCGGCTCAGGTCATGATCTCACGGTTTGTGAGTTCAAGCCCTGCGTCAGGCTCTGTGCTGACAGCTCAGAGCCTAGAGCCTGCTTCGGATTCTGTGTCTCCCTCGCTCTCTGCCCCTCCCTCACTCATGCTCTGTCTCTCTGTCTCTCTCTCAAAAATAAATAAACATTAAATAAATAAAATAATGTTTTCAAAATTGACAAAAAAAAGTAAGTGTTCTGCAACAGAACACCTATATTTTTTAATTGTCTCTAAGTAGTATCACAGTTATCTTTTTTTAAACAGCTTAAAACATCCTCAGTTACAGGGGAAAGGGGTAAAAACTAAACCATCTTTACCATCCTATATTAATTCCTTGTTTACTGATGAGAAAATCCAACTTTAGGTTGTGAAATCTAAACAAACTGCAAGTGAAAGAACAGATTCCTGACTCTAAATACACACAATTAATTAATTAACTTGATGTTTATCAAGGACCTTTTTGACATTGATGGATGTCAGGAAACAAAAATTAATTTAAAAGTATCTGTATTCAAGATGATCACAGACTATGGGAAAGACCGATATATGAACATGATTATGTGATGTGCTGAATTCATCTCAATTCACCTGGGGGGACTAGGAAAAGCTTGGTTGAGGAAGATAATGTTTGAGCTAAGACTTGAAGAGTAGGAATCCTCAGGTGAATGAGGGGGTGGGATGAGAGAAAAGGAAAATACTCCAGAAGTCCAGCAAATACAGACAGTTGTGAGAAAATACAGAAATATCAAGGAAGGCAGATAATTCAGTATGACTGAATGAGCCTGGAACAAGCCAACCAGGCACAAGCTACAGAAGCCTTTTTATACTTTGCAAAATAGGTTTAAAAGGCTTCCAGATTTTCATGTTAGCATCTCTGGCAACACTACGAAGGATTGGTTCAAGGAAGGATGGGTTCAAAACGACCAGTTAGGCAGTATCACAACAGATTTGCAAGAGTGGTAAGGGTCTGAAAAGTGGGCAGGATGGGAAGGAAGTTGGAATCTGATTCCTTTTTAAACTATTTTACTGAGATAAAATTTACATAACATAAATCCACCACGTTAATCATTTTAAAGCATAGAATTCATTGCTGATTCCTTTTCATTTATTTATTTTTTTAATTTTTTAACATTTATTCATTTTTGAGGGACAGAGAGACACAGAGTGCAAGCAGGGAAGGGGCAGAGAGAGAGGGAGACACAGAATGCAAAGCAGGCTCCAGGCTCCAAGCTGTCAGCAGAGCCCGATGCGGGGCTCGAACTCACAAACTGCAAGATCATGACCTGAACCGAAGCCGGACCCTCAACCAACTGAGACACTCAGGCTCCCCTGCTGATTCCTTTTTTAAAAAATCTATCTTCTGGGGCGCCTGGGTGGTTCAGTTGGTTAAGCCTCGGACTTCAGCTCAGGTCATGATCTCATGGTTCGTCTCCCCAAGTCAGGCTCCATGCTGACAGCTCAGAACCCGTAGCTTGCTTCAGATTCTGTGTCTCCCTCTCCCTGCCCCATCCCCGATCCCAGTCTGTCTCTCTCTCACTCTCTCAAAAATAAACATTAAAAAAATTTTAAAAATAAATAAAATGTAAAAATCTATCTTCTGCTAGGCACTTCTGCTTCTATTTCAGTGAAAGATTAAATGACTAAATGGAATTTAACTGGTAGAAATAGTAGTTTTAAAAAATCTTCACTTTTCTTATTTAAAAAGGAGTAAGCAGTTACTGTAGAAATTCAGACAATAGCAGTATATAATGTAAAAAGTTAAAGTGTTCCCCTAATGAACAATCCCAACTACCCAGAGATAGCCACTGTTAAGATTGTTGTGTATCCTTACAAAGGTTTCTCTATACATACATACGCACTTATATGTAGGTTGGTGGTGGGGGGCGTTGCATAAAAGGCACCTGAAATGTAAAGTATTTCCCGGGCACCTGAGTGGCTCAGTCGGTTGAACGTCTGACTTCGGCTCAGGTCGTGATCTCACAGTTTGTGAGTTTGAGCCCCATGTCAGGCCCTGTGCCTAGAGCCTGCTTCAGATTCTGTCTCCTTCTTTCTCAGCCCCTCCCCCACTCACACTCTGTCTCTCATTTGACTATGAATAAACATTAAAAAAATTTTTTTTAAAGAATTTATAAAAGTATTTCCCTGCATCTTGTTACCCACGTAAAAACAGCTTGGAATCCCCCACCCCCCCCCCAAAAGCCTGTTCACTTCACTATACATTTGAAAACTGTGTTTTTTTTAATTTTCTGCCAACCTAATAAGTAATTCACTTTAACTTCCTGGCTTCTTTCATCGAATAGTTCAAATATTCAGAAACAGAAAAAAATAGGCTCCTTTAAATTTTTTTTTTAATTTTGTTTAATGCTTATTTATTTTTGACAGAGAGAGAGAGACAGAGCAT